CAGCATCATGAGCATCAGCCGCAAAGGGTTTTCCCCAAATCCCCAAACAAGGCCAGCATCATGAGCATCAGGCGCAAAGGGTTTTCCCCAAATCCCCCAAACAAGGCCAGCATCATGAGCATCAGCCGCAAGGGGTTTTTTCCCAAAGCCCCCAAACACAAGGCCAGCATCATGAGCATCAGCCGCAGAGGGTTTTCCCAAAGCCCCCAAACAAGGCCAGCATTATGAGCATCAGCCGCAGAAGGTTTCCCCAAAGCCCCCAAACAAGGCAAGCATCATAAGCATCAGCCGCAAAGGGTTTGCCCAAAGCCCCACAAACAAGGCCAGCATCATGAGCATCAGCCGCAGAGGGTTTTCCCCAAATCCCCAAACAAGGCCAGCATCATGAGAACGAGGCAACGCTGTGAATGTATCTAGTTCAGTTGTTGGTGTGAAATAGACTTTCTTTACTGTTGCAGAGGCGTTTCACAGTGCCCTGGCACATCCACCTAGATCCTGAAGTGAAAGGGCAGATCAGCATCAGGGTTCATTGCCAACCCTGATGAATGCCCTCAGACCTTTTCTGGGTGTTCACCGTGTGAGAAGCCTTCACAGTTGGTTAGCGGGTGTATGTGGCTGGAACTAGGGCTAGACATCACCTGCAAAGTTTGTACGCTAATACGACAGGAGCTGCAAAACACGGAGCTGCAAAACACGCGAGCAAAAGCATCACCCGGCAAAAACACAGCCTACAGAAATGGGCGCCAAAGTCTGAGGCGAAACAGTTCTGGCCAAGCCACCCGCAGGATCTCCAGCTCCTCCTGTGCGAGGGCCATGCAAACCCTATAAGATCTCGGCCTGTAGAATCACTACAACCTAGTCATCCGCGTCTGATAGTGATTTCCCGGTATGAGATCTATAGCGCCCTTCCGAATGATGTCCACTTCAAACGTTCCCGACAGCGGGGCCGTGGATCTAATGCACACATTTCCCAACCCGTGCTCTTGGTAACCCTGTTTTTCAAGCCTCGATGCCTGCAACCTATGTCACCCGCCCATTCTGTAAGAAGCGCTGCGCGTAAACTCCTCATCCCATCAATACCTGAGCCCGAACCCCCCCTTTCTAAACCACATCTTACATCACCTGTTTATGCAACCTGCAACCATAAACCTCAAAAAATGCGAACCCCTGGAAACCTATAAGCCCTAAACCCCCAAACAATAAACCCACAAAAGCGGCTCTCTCCTGAAGGGCCTCTGGCAGCCCGGCGAGGTCGTTCGACATGGCGGACGGGCTTGGATTAGAGCTGCAGTTTGTTGGAGTGGGGTTTGGGTGTAGGGCTTATAGGGTTGAGCGTGGCTTGGCGGCGAGAGGGAGACACGAGAGTGGACTTCCTCGTTAATTGTGCCATAGATTGCCATAGCTTTTGGGGACACTTTCTGGTAGGGGATGCAAAGGTCTAGAAATGACTGTAATGATTCCAGGGGTCCTTGAACTGTGCGGGATTGGAGCTTTGCTGCTTAAGAGCCTTTGTGCTTGAGGTGTGTCTGTTCTTACTTAGGGTTTATGGTTCAGGGTTTAGGCACAGCTGCACTTGTGATGCAGATTTGCGGCTTAGGCTTAGGAGTTGAAAACAGCTGCAGCACCAAAACAGGCTGCAAGCTCGAGAATCGGTGCAGAATAATGACACTAATCATCATAACAGTTTTCATACTAGTACATAATAGCAATAATAAGAACAAGAATAGTAGTCATCGTACTCATACTAGTAATACAGGAATGCTGATACCAATAATGTGTGGACTTTTGGTGTAATCTGAAGATAGCCTTGCCAGAATCCAGCGGCCCACGGGCCGGAGAGGCGGGGCTCAGTTGATGAACACTGCATCCTAGAACTCAATTTTGCGGAATAGTCATCGTGCGAATAGTATCTAATCTATAAAACAATAATCCGCCGACCCCGGGCACGACCGACAAGACCGCACGACCCACACGACCAACACGACCAACACGACCGACACGACCGACACGACCAACACGACCGACAAGACCAACACGACCGACACGACATGACACGACCGACACGACCAATACAACCAACACGAGCAACACGACAGACAGGTCCCGACTCGCACCTGCGGTTCCTGACTCGCCTAACTTTCATCCAAAGCTCACCAAAGGGACGTCATGTTGCAAATACAAGTTTTGGCAGTTTTTGGGCCCACAGGTTCTCATCACCAGCCTTCATCGTGTCACGCCGCTGTCACGCCGACCCAAAGCTATGAGCCAATTGAACCCAGTTGAGGGATTGATCAGTTGGTTTAGAAAGTCAGTTGGGGGAAAGAAACCGCTGCAGAAACCGCAACAATTTTCATTGATTTCATTTGCCGATGTTCCAAACTTGAGAAGCCGCAGCAAAATCAAACGTTGGAACTTTTGGCGAGACCTAACCTTGAGAATCGGTGGAATGTGGAGCCCCACAGCCTTTCCCTCAGCGTTCAATATTTTGAGCCATGCGGTCTCTGCCTGCGCCAAAACTGAAGACAACAGGATTCACTTAGCCACAAGCTATGAGCTCATGCTGGAAACTAGTTCTTCAGCACGTGCAGTGGTCAAAATGCAAGGCCCAACGGTCTGATGAAGAAGCGCTTCACATCAGTGGCTTCGCAACTTATGGCCTCAACTGGGGAAACTTGTGGCTACCCCAAGTTTGGGAAGCGCTCCAGATGGCCATGTGAGACTTCCCCTGAAGATTTCGGTTCTGTCGCACCATAATCAAGACTCCTTACACTGGTCTTCATAGTCACCCCATGATAGGGAATCTGGCAATGGACTCGATATATGATCCTGATGCTCCTGGCTGATGATACGGATGGTTCAATCTCATTATCATTGATACCCGAACTTGATCTAACACCAGCGAGTCCATGGTCTCTCTGGACCATGTGAAGCCCATGGAAATCAAGGAACTTGATCGTCTCACAATTGATCACATGATCTTCCTTTGGATTTCGCGAATTGCAGCTCTCACTTTCTCTGGTTTCCCAATGACGGTCGCAGTATTCCCATCCAGGCTAACCTTGGACCATGCAGATTCCAATCACAACAGAAGGTCTGCCGTGTAAGATTCTATGCCTGGATGATGTGTAGATGACAGACTACACATGTTTAGACTTCGACTGCTTGGCCAGGCCCACTTATGTCTGCCAAAATTTTGCAAAACACTGAACACCCTGAATGCGTACAGTTTGTGACTGCCACTTTGCAGCTTAAACTCCAATCTTCGAAGGTCCGACATTCAAGTTCTGCAAAAGTGCAAAAAGTCATAGAGAGGTAAAGAGGTCATAAATCTCATCATTTGAAAGACTGGGAAAGAAACAAAGGTTTGTGGTCTGGTGCAAGGAACAAAACAAATTTTCGCGGAACAGTACCAAATATCATATCATTCATATGACCATTTTCATCAACAGTCCACATTTGGCATTATGCTCACAGGCACCACTGGAATCTGAATCGGCAAAATGGGTACGGTGGATTCGGGGCCAAGTCACCTTCCTGGGCAAAAATTGAAATCTCACCGTTACTGGCAAATTCTTAAATTTGTTGAGTGACCTTACCACATACCGGCAAGCTATTGTTTGTTCAGTTGAGTAAAATAGGCGATATGGTCAATGTAGAGAAGCCCATCACTTAGACTACTGACTACGGCCAGAAGACCTACGTGCCGAGAGATCCTTCCCTAATGATTCCGGTGGGGTGTAAGTCTACATGCATCGCACTCAGCTTTTGCGAAGTTGACTGTGAATGGTATCGGTGCTCCCTGGGAGTTGTTTTCGGTTGCCACTGTCATGTTTCACGCAAAGGAATGCAAGAATGCTCTACATGGCTGGAAAACCGGCGGACAGAAATCGGAAGTTTTCAAACCAGGGAATGGTGACAATGAACTTTGACTTGGACTATGGCGTGCTAGGAATTGATGCTCATCAAATGCTCAAATTCCTAGAGGCATAGCAGGTATAGCTCAATCCGAAACCATCTGCGTCAGAGAGGCCCGCGCTCCAGAGTTGGCTTGGATGGCAGCGATGGTAGCCCCCTTTTTGCCAATCAGGAGGCCTTTCTTGTCAACCGGCACAAAGATTTGTTCAGCGATGTGATCCACTGCCTGAAAGTCTGAGATGATTTCAAAGTCCCGGAACTTTTTCGCTGAGCGGTCCAAAGCTGCGTGACGCGGCAAAGCCAAAAAGTCCTTCAACCGTCTCTCGCTGATTTTTCGGACTTCTTCGTCAAGCTTCTTTGCGACATCTGCATCTTGGGGAGTCCAGTGCCTCTTCATGTCTAACAAAAACTTCACATCCATGGCTGCATATTGCACAAGGATGGGTCGCAAAGGCCTCATCTTCCAAAAATTCATAACTTCCTCCTTGCTCAGGCGCGAACAACTTCTGCCCCTCTTCCTTGATGGCATCCATCTTTGCAATCTGAGCCCTTGTGAGGACTTTGGTCTCATCCAAGAAAACGGCCAAGATCTTTTTCAGCCCCTGTCCAACACTACCCCTGTCACATGTTTGGCCCGAAAAAAAGGTCGTGGCAAAATGAAAGAAAGATCCAAAGCAACCCCTAAAATGGTGCTATACTGCATTATACTGCCATCCCACTATGGAAAATGCCATGTTCGCCATGACCCCAAGATGTTGCAGTGGAATGCTCGTGTAAGTAAAATGACCCATCAGCCCATCATAAGCACATCACAAACGGAGCTACAACACCGACCTGCAAGTGGATGTCTTCGGGGTGCTGAAATTTCCTTAGGGTCAAGTGGTTCGTCGGAGCCACAACTGAGGCGACTCAGTCAATGGCAGCTTGGAGGGAATTGTGGAGTCCAAACAGTCAAATGGTTCAACTTCAACGTTGGAATTCTTAGTTCTTACTGTTAATGACGAATCCACAGGTAAGTTTGGCTGCACATGACCAAACGGTCGTGCAGCTTGTTAATGCGAGTGCCATGCTATGATTGTATCGTGAAACCGATCAGAGCTAGACAGAGGAGAATGATTCTGGAACAACTTTCACAATCGAGCCCAGATTCAAGTGCCATAAAACTTGAACATCGTAGGAAGCTTGCACTTGAATCCCATGTAGGTGGAACAAAGCATCATTGTCTGCACGCACATCGTAGAAGACCTTCAAAATGTCAGGTGACTCCAAGAGTTGCTTCAAGCCACCCTCTTCGAAGGCTTTATCCTGGCATGAAACACGACATCCACATCAACGCTTTTCATTGTCTTCCTGCCATCTGCCCAGTTTGGAGATCCTCATAATTCACAAGCCAATGATTTGCAAAAATCCATACCCTGCCCATTTAATCTCAAGCCATGCTCCGTGACATGCCACCTCTCGAAGATTCAAATGCAATAAGACGCTTCACCCAATGAGAAGGACACCTAAATGGCAGTAAGGTCTAGGATTGGCCCCGTCCGAAGAACATCTGAGATGCAGCTTCGGCTACAGTGGCTACAAGTTACACATGAACCAAGTCCCTTGATTTGGATCTGTCAAAAATGCGTCATTCATGTCAAATCATTGCATGGTTGTGAGTGCCAGATTGTGCATTACGGTTGATCTCAACCAAGTAGATTCCGTTGATAAAATACAACATGCAGAGTTGAAAGTAGAGGACGAGAGGATGAGGACCATTTGTGCTTTGTATCTAAAACCACCTGACTAAAGAAACGGGAAGATTCTTGAACACAGGATTTGAACACTGGATCCCTTTAAAATTTAAAATGCTGCTGTACCAAAAAATGGCAGTGCTTGACGAAAAAGATTCTATTTTGCAATGACATAGAACTTGAAACAACTTGCATGGTTTCCTGACAGAAAGTGTTAAGGATAGTAGACAATTCCACGAGCGGGAATCGGATCTACTTCTACGAAGAAAATGCATTATCATATCAAACGCATCCAAAGGCACATTATTTGAACAAGGTGCAAAAAAACATTCACAGCCAGAGAGCAGTGATTTGAAGAAACGCAGTTGCTTCATGCAAAGGAGTGAAAAGGGGGCATGTAAAAATCAAAGATGGCATTTGTTTCGCCGTATTGAAAGACGCGGGTTTGTGCTGCTTTTGTTTCGTGCTTTTGGGCAAGCACCATCTGCAAACGGTTGCACGAGATTTTGCACCGCAAGCACCACTCAGTTGGAAGCTGTAACTTGGTGCATTCGTCTTAGCATCTTCGCTGCAAAAGAGAACTCCTCCACAAATTGTGGAGCAGGCCGTCCAGTAACTGGAAGAACTTCACGGTCACCAAGGAAGACGCTTGGCAACTAGTCCAGAGGCCAGCGTCGTTGAGAAAAGTTTGTTGTTTAACCTTTTTGGAAATGCTTGTTCTTAGATCAACCCAGATCAAGATGAGTGTACATGAGCATCTAGAACCTAGGATTAGAACGGCGCCAAACATATGATGGTGCAAGGAAAGATCACCATGTGCCTGTTCCGCTCTTACAACAGCCGATTCCAAAACTTCATCTCAAATCCAAACTTAAGGGTTCTACCTTGTTCTACCCTATCCTTTGCACAAGTTTATTGTCCTCACTGAATAGCCCCGACTGTCCTGCATCTGGTGGATGTCGAACAGAAAGACCTCCGAGGTGAACCAATCTATCTGGATGACATTAGATGACTGAATTCTGACCGCGCAGGCCATGATCCTACGTCGTGTCCCTCGACTAAACTTTGACCCACAAGACATTCCAAAGGCTTTCGACATTTTCAACCGCGTTGATCATGCCAATCCTCTCCAGCCATCTAGCCATGTCCAACATTGCTTTCTACATCCACATGGATTTGAGAAGATCAGCGACCAGCTGCAACGCCTTGTCCATGGAGGCACCACACATCTGGATCAAGCACACTTGGCCGGCACGGCTCAAGTCGACACCCTCAATGTCGATGGCCACTTCTGACTCCTGTCCAACAGGGGAGAATGTCAAGGTCAAACTGCGCCCCACATGGTACCACATGGTACCACCGCAGGCATCTTATAGTATTGAAATGAAGCAAAAAGCAAAAGACAAAGAGAATTCCGATGCTTCAGGCGTTCCGATTGTAGAGAAATACCCAAACCTTGCAACCTGGACCAACCAATTTCCACATTGTGCAAGGACAAAGTGGCACGCCTCATCCAAAGCAAATCCAACTATATTACAGTATTGGATATAGCTTGTACATGCTTGTACGATATCGTAAGTACCATGCAGGGTGATATGTCTCAAAGTCAACAAACTTCAGGAAGCACAACCGCGACATGTCCTGGAAAAGCTCAGCCACTGCTTCTTGACATTTTTGACATGTATCAATGAGCACAGGATTAACCATCGCACTCGACATACCAAAGTAACAGGGCGGAAACGCTGTCAGGGAAGGCGAAGCAAGTATGATTCTGAGATGTTTTGAGCCAACAGAAACCATGGCGCATGAAGGATGAAAGACACGAGAATCACGAGAACGCAAATACGACTATCACGCTGCTTCACCATCGCCCACAAACCACTATGTACTCATGACATCTCATGAAATCTCATGAAATATCGTGACTCATGACACATCGAATGCTCACAAAGGGGAGGGCTGCCTCAATTCCAAAGAGCTACAGTACCACAGATTTTGCTGTTTGGACAACTGCTCTCTTGGTGACGGTTGAAACCTTTCTCAGTCTCAAAGTCAGTGTACAGCTCAATCAATCAGGGTCAGGTCTGGTTATGGGGCATGGGCAAGATGCCACTTATCCGCCGACCCCTGGGGCGGCGCCCATGAAGCTGTTCTTGGAGAGGCTGGTGCTGCTGCTAGGCTCAACCCCGTTTCTTGCTAGCCGAACCCACGTAAAAAAGGTCCATGTACCCAAGACTTCGGCACTTGGGTTTTGGTTAAGAATAGCTATAGTACAGGCTTTGAGTAAGTATATGATGATTGGGTACTCAGACTCTCAGCGGAAGTTCTTTGGAAGAGGAGCTGCATACTTGGGGGTGTGCAAGCGGCCCCGTGTCACAGTCATCGGATTCATCCACTGCTTCCAAAGGTGGGCAACTTGAGATGGCTCTGCAAAACCTATGCCCGCAGCAGAAACTTTACTGCGCTCTTTTTTTGCACATGCGCCTGGGATGCACGTGCTGTCCCCGAAGAATATTCGGAAGGAAACTGGATGGTGGCACAGGAGCCTGTGCTCCATTCATTAACTGCCTGAGTGACACCTCGGAGCAAGGAAAGGCAAGGTGATTCTCCAGGGATGTCGAGCTTGTGATTGTGAATGGGAGCACACCAAGAAGCTCTATCGGGCGGCAGTTCTTCTTCTCAGGGGCAATACAAGAAGACCCTTATCTGATGAATGGTAGTGTCCCTCAAAGTCTGGGCACACGTCCGCAGAGGCACCCCAATGAGTTGCAACAGTTGGTCAGCTGCATATTTGCTTCGCAACACTGGGATTTGTTAAAGGCAAAGATAGGGCTTCAACTTCACTCGCGCATTTTTTTCGATGACGCAATTGCACCTGGTGGGCTGTGCAGGTGGAACGTCGTGAAACCCTGCAAGAAGCTGCTTTTCCCTAGCCCCGTTTTGGAATAATGGAAAGAAAATGGAAACTAATCTAGTATAATAGGGTACATATAGGGGTTATATTGGGGGATGTGAGAACATACTGTTTACCCAATATAAGTAGAAGGTTTGGAGAGCCAATATCATGGTCAGCATGCGAGGAGCAGAACACAAATTTGTAAGCCTTGTAACCCTAGATAGTAGTTTCCATCTTCTCTTCCCTCCTTATATAACCCAATATAGCCCCAATACAACCCCTATATGTACCCTATTATACTATAGTAGTTTCCATTTTCTTTTCCAATTTTCCAATATAACCCCAAGGGGATAACTTCCCCTAAGCCCTAAATCCCATCAACCTCCTGATAGGCCCATCATCTCCACACCCCCCACAGGCAGGCTTCAGTTCATATGAGCTGTAGTTAAAGGGGGGGTATAATAGGGGATTATATAAGGGAGCATTTTAGGGCTTATTAGGGGGGATGCAAGGAGTTTAGACTAAGCTCATGTAGTTAGCTCACTACAGAAAACTCAAATGTATCGCTGGAATTTCTTTGTGCGGAGAGGGTTGTCCATTGCCTCTGTACAGGGAAGGTCCTCCCTACTAATTAGTAGGCAGTAGGGAAATCTTCTAGGCCAAAGATCCAGCTTGCAAAGCCAGTACATCCAGCAGCCGGAAAGACTTCACCGCTTACAGCATATTTCAGAAGCTGGCAGTTTGTGAAGCGCATCAACTTGGCGCACGTGAGAACCACAACTGCCGGCCACAATCCACACCTCAAGGTACAGTCAGATTATAAGCTGTGCGGAAAGAAAACTGGAAGAACGAGATAAGGCTGGATGTTGGGGTACGGTACCACTGCAGGAGTTTCCAAAAGTATCGCGGTCTATATCGCAGCATGTTGGAGCCCCCTGTCAAAAGAACTGATGCTGATGAAAGACTGGTAACATACCTGTCTGCCCAGATGCGCGGATGAGCTCTGTAGTTGAACATTTCTCAATGGCTGCCAGTACCGGCGCGTCACGTTTGCGAATAAATTCGTGCAGGTGCATGCCACGAGGGGGCTGGTCATAGTACCCCTCCCCGGCATGGAGGTAGTCTGTGGTCGCGATAAGCAAGATGTTTTCTCCTGGACTGCGGGCATTGGAGAGAGCGAGAGAGAGGCTTGCTGTAACTCCTTCAAACCTGGGACTATCTCTATACCCAATATTAGTACGATTATGCGGGGCTCCTCGGGACCCCAGGAAAATGAAGAGATACAAAGGTATCGGGGTCCCTACCAGGGTTTAGGGTTGAGGGTTTACCGGGATGACCTTGACAAACACCGGAATGTGTCAGCAATTGAGGCTTGCGCTGTCGATGATGGTAACGATATCTTTGGCCAACTGCTCCGCTTCTGAAAGCGTCAGCTGCGACAATCCAAGCGGGAGGATCCTCACCTCAACCATTATTACTACTATTACTACTACTGCTATTACTAATGTAAATAATAATATTACTGTTATGACTATGATTGTTCTTATCATTGTTGTTATTGTCATTCTTAAGTAGCACCCTCCACCGTCAGCCCTGAACCCATCCCCAAAGTTAACATGGGGACCCACACAGGAACGGCTTCAGCGGACCGTCAGCTTTGTGGGGCCTCGTTTGGGTTTCCATCCAATTTGGGAAGGGTAGCTTCTGCAGATTCACTGTAGGGGAACCTCGAAAATCACTAATTCAAACCACAGTAGATGTGGTTCCAAAAGAGAGGAAGCTTGAACAACTCGAATTTCAACCATATTAGATGTGGATTCTTGATGTATACCGTTCTCAAAAGCTCCACATAGTATCCTGCTGGCAACAACGCTCTCCAGAAGGCCATAGCACTCCACCGCAACTTGCTGAGGTTTAGTAGGGAATAAGGGAATATAATATTTTTGAGGGTTATACAGTATTATAGTCCCCTATCCCCTACTAAGCACCAGTAAGACGTTTTAATTTGGAGCGTGAACCAGCTTTCTTAAAGAGAAAGGCATCATGAGGACCTGACTAGTACAGAATGCCTTCTGCATCTCCATTTAGTCCTAGCCTGGAATCTCAAGCATTCCGGGATAAAGACCCTGCTAGGTTCATATTGCGAAAGCGGCAAAACAACCTCTAGCCGCCACCGCTCTAAAACAAAAACGCCATGGTATTCAGTCGGCCCTGCCGGCCTGTGTAAGAAAGTTCGGTACGCAGAAACATACAGGGGCTCATAAGGACGGTCTGTATGCATCACCTTTGAAGCAAGCACCACACGAGAGCAGTAATTGTCTTCTGAAACATGAGTGTTGTGTAGCTTAGCATTTGATTTGAAACTATGATTACTATAATCACTAATAATATTATAATCACTAATATTATTGCCATTATTATTGCTATTATTACTACTGTTATTACTCTTACTATTAGTACTATTATTACGACTATTCTTACTAGTATTATTACTGTTCTTCTTCTGCGGGCCACGCGGCATCTGGCGCAAGATGCTGGAGGAAGGGAAGCTGGTTCTCAATGCTGTGCTCCTGGGCATGGCCTTCAGGGCATGCTTGGGCTTCATGGCTAAGGTCAGGGTTTAGGGTTTAGGGTTTAGCGTTTAGGGTTAAAGGTTTAGCGTTTAGGGTTAAAGGTTTAGGCTTAAAGGTTTAGGGCTTAGGGTTAAAGGTTCGTGGCCAAGGCTAAAGGTCAACATATGGGATATTGGGATGATTGAAAATGAAATGGAAACTACTATAGTATATGGGGGAATATATAGGGGTTGTATTGGGATAATGGAGATAATACAATGGAAACTATATGAGTGACCTAATCAGCACTTCACATGGGAATCTCTGAGAATAGTACCTGCCCGCTAGCAAGCAGCCCCCCCCCCCAACATTGCCTTGCAATCTACATGTACACATCCTGTTCCCGAGACCCCCCCCTCCGTCCTAACAAATCCCAAGGTATAACCCCAAGGTTATACACCTATAGTATAGTAGTTTCCATTTATCTTCCAGTATCCCACTATAACCCCTATCTATCCCCTAGTACAATATAGAAGTTTCCATGTTCTTTTCCATGATCCCAATGCATATGCTCGTTTGTAGCAAACCCATCCTCGCTCATCGACGGGATACCTGTTGTGGGGATTCACACGTCACGGTATTATGGCAGGTGTGGGGTGCATCATACCTTACAATTGACTGTACCAAAGCTTCATGGAAACATCTGCAGCTGTCCAGATTGCAAGCTCCCCACCCCTAACGGCACAACAACATGCAAAATAAAACTGATGGGCTTTGTGAAAAACGAGTGGGATTACGGCAAGCTTGCTCACTGAGATCACAATTTTGACTCACAAGTTAAGCGTCCGATAGGCCCTTAAAACCTTAGGCCCAGCACCTGAACTCTAAACACAAACAAGCCGCCCCAGGGCTCGGAACTTCCGCATCAACTCGGCGTCCACCTCCAAGGTACTGGTTCGTACAGAACCAAAAAAACAACAAGAATAAGCGTGCTATGATTTTGTAGTACTGGTACTCAGCTACTCTTAATACCGCAGCACGACATCTCATGTTTTATGACAAGCTAGTTTTTCATTATTTCTGAAGCTGTTGTTATCCTTCATGAGCACTCGTCTTTCTTCATTCGTTGCTGACCCGCCTCCAAGGTTCCCAGAGGAGTTCGCCAGGGGCGGCTGCTGAGGGCAATCCGCTCCCCGATGCACCTGAAGGTTGTTGCGTGCTGCTACCGGTTTTGGGATTGCAAAAATGCATTTTTGCGGTTTCAAAGGTTAAGCTTGGTTTTGGGGGTTGTGGCCTTCTTACTAAGCTGAGGCTACTACTTTACTTTCATTATTGTCCTCAACATTTTGAAAAAGAGTTACAAGATTTCTTACATGGGAATTCCCAGAGATAGCTCTATGTAGCCTCTCTGTCAGGCAGCTCTTACGGTCCTCCGGTCCTCTTTGCAAAGGCTCACCATTTTTTGTTAACTCCTCCTCACTTTCACGTGCATTGCGCACGCGCGCGCTACGCATTGAAACCTTTTCACAGAAACCCGTATGTCGCGTGATGCTACGGACGCCCCACAAGAGAGCATGAAATTACTCGCTACTGCTCACAAGTGTGTGCGCGGAGTCGGTTTTCTGCGTTTTGCGCCCGCGTCCTCCTCTTCGCAATGGTTGCCATGATTACAAAGGGTGGGGGCTGACTGTCCTTCGTTCCTTGTAGATCTTTTACTTCCACTGCAAGAACAAACAAGTGCCATTGACATCTCAATCGTACGACTGGCATTTTGATTCCTTCCAGGTCTTCTTGCGGAGCCGAAGCCGCGAGGGTGCACACTTGGTGAACGTAGACCTAAGGTTTGGGGATGTTTAGGTTTTAGGGCTTTGTGTAGCCGAGCCTTTGTGTGACCTCGCGATCTGGCTTATGTCCTCCTTTTTCTGGAGTCCGTCGTCCCATGGCCCAGCCAGTATAACGAGGGGAAGAGGGGGCGGTGGAGGGCAGGGTGCTAATAAATGACTGTAGTGCCCCCCATAGAGCTCCCTTTTCTGAGATGCCAGCGCCTCAGCTAATAGCAATGACAAGCACAACTCTGCTGATTTCAGTTTCTCACTGGTTCTTTGTGGGGAATAAGGAAATCTAATCCACATATATATATATATATTCCTAAGCCCTAAACCCTAAACCCTAAATTCGTAATCTAAAATATTCCCCTATTCCCGACTAACCCCCGAGTAAGCTTCGCCATAGCCAGCCCAAGTCTGAAACCAACCTTGGGACACTTTTAAGCAAATTGGGATTTCTCAATAATATGGGGAGGGTACCCTGCGGGTGCTCTAAAAACAGCCCAGGGAATGCATGGGGATCGCAACAGCCTCATGGGGTTTGCGGTCTGCCTTAGTGAGTGGTTCTACATGAAACAATTTGAGCAACTGTCAAATCCAGAAGACTCAGATCAACAAACGCCTGGGAACAAACAAGTGAAACGCTTCTACTTGCTTTAATATATCTGATTTCATGTTATGAGGAGCCTTTTCAAAATGACTATAACAAGTAGACCCCACGATCCCACGATCTACTCTATACCCATAATATGGTATCTTAAACTGAGTTCCTTAACAGCAACCAAGATAATACAATAGTGCTACTTCAGCTTGTCGTTGTTGTCTGGGTGGTACTGGTCATGTAACCGTAAATCCCGGGGATACGTGCAAAAATCTTGGCTCTTAAGGTCCTCATACCAACAGTGCTAGCCGTGTAAACCCTGAACCCCTCATAGAGCGCAGAGCATCTGCGTCATCCCAAATCGAAACACTGATGATTCCCATCTCAACCCTTTATGCCCCTATCACCACAAATACTATACTATTAATGGATATAGTCCCCTTAGCTCCCTATATATCCCCCTATAACCCCTTTAAAGGGACCCTATTATTTGGGGGAGTATCACTGCAGTCCGCCAGCCTGTGGTTGGTCCCAAGAAGGAGCACCGTCGGCGGGACCCCATGGGCCGCCAGGCGCTGGAAGGCATGAGCAACCACAGGAAAGCTGTCACCTTGGTTTAGGGTTCAGGGTTTAGGTTTTAGGGTTTAGAGTCTTTCGGAATCCCCCCACTAGCAGGCGCTATCTCCTACAACCCTAATCCCTAAACCCTAAAATTATACAATTCCGGAGACGCTATATGTTTTATCAGTAGGGGGTACAGGGAAGTGATGAGAGCAGTATGAGCTCTAGCCATGATTCGCGATGTCGCTCAATTCAATAGAGACTCCAATGTCTTGTTTACTGGTTTAGGGTTCAGGGTTGAGGGTTTGCAAGTGGGAGAAAAGAGATGGGACCATCTTGGCTCATGTCTACGAATGTGTCTGTGCCTCGAAAGAATCAACAAGGATCCACATGTCCTCCCTCAGCAAACATACTCATTTGAGCAGCTACCCTGTAGTAGTCCCCTATATTATCCCATATTTAAGCAGTTCAGACTATAGCTCATATGGGCTCATGCGCCAGAGTTGGAGTTTCTCAACATCGGGGGCCTGATTCGGGATATGTGGGGAGTAAAGCAGACTCCACGGCCCAGGGCTTATGTAAGGATCATGCTGGAAACTCCCAACCCTAAGGGCCCAAAGGACCCTTATAGGGTTTAGGATTAGGTATTTTGGAATTAGATCCCGAATATTTTCGTCTGAATGGGTTTTGGGGCTCAAGCTCCTAACATGTTGGGTCCTTGGATCCTTAAGCAGAACCCTAAACTCGAAAGCCTAATTTGCTGAGTGCCCGACAAGATGCCCCATGCGAGACGAGGAGCAGGAATGGAGGGGATGCTTCTGCTGTCCTGCGAACTATTACCATTATTACTAGTATGATTATGGTTTATTGTAATTTCACTACTGTTATTATTTCCATTAGCATAGAGAACTGCCTGCAAGGCTCCAAGTTCAGGGCTTTGGACGGAAGCGTGCGCATTGAGCCCAAATTCGCCCCTGGAAGGATGCTTTGGGGCCCCTGATGGCTAGTACGCTACCATATGGTAGCTTTCGAGATCCATGGGCCACAGGAAGCATACCAGATCGGTAAGCCCCTTTAAGAAAACGTCTAAAGCTCTGCATGGGTCCCAGGGCGAACAATAATGCAGCGATACTCCACTCCCGTTGCCAGAGCACTGCCCTGGGAAAGGTTTATATATTGGGTTATATAGGGGATGATGGAAAAGAAAATGGAAACTACTAAAAGGGTTTATTTGATATTTAACCCCCCCACCCCCCTAATATCAAGCTCTTAGGGTTTAAGGTTAAGATGCGTCAACAGCTCCCAGAACCCAGCGAACTGCGGCAGCAACATGGTTCCCTTGGATTTGGGTACCGACAGTCCTGCTGGATGTTTGTTATTCAAATCAACAGTACTCCGAGCTGAGATCAATAAGAACATGATGCAAGATGAAACTGCCGTAGTTCCAGTATCTGGTAAGTACCAAGGCCTGTGCAGCAGATGTGAGCCTCCACCGAACACGAGGAATCTAAAGATGTTCAGAGTAAGAGGTTACAGTAGTACCCCCTCCGCCCTGAAAGGTACCCCCCCCCCCAAGGGTTTAAGGAGCTAATAAGGACGATATACAGGATTAATAAGGTCTAATAAGGTGCTAAATCTGGGGGGGTTCCTTTGGGGGGGAGTTACTATTATAATCTCTAAGAGTGTCAGCACATGCCTTAATGGTCCTGGCTGGAGCCCGCGGCACTGCTCCAGGGCCGTGTCGGGATGTGTACGCATTTTCAATCTCTGTCATCAGTTGCCGAGGGTTCTGTAGGGAGCGTGTCAAATCTAACTCTTTGAAGGGGGAGGGGGTTGCGCAACTTCATAAAAAGTCTTGCGCATCTTGGCTGAGAACTAATCTAAAAAAGACAAATACACGACAACATGTTCTACTGTTCTACTGACTCACAGAATGTATGGTGTGGGAGTGGGAGTTCTGCTACACAGTATGATGTGCCTTGCTGAAATATAGGCAGAGAGGCGCGCGCGGCATCAACATGGCGCATGGGATCTACGAGAAGGCTGCTCCTTAGGGCTCCAGTTTCGAAAGCACATGGCCCTTCAAGTACGCAGTATGTGGAAGTTGTAGGTATCCCGCAGCCCATTACTTCTGATAACAGCGCCGTCGGGTTCTGCCCATAACTTGGTTGCCTTGCATTTGCTGCCTCACTGCAGTATTCAGAACTGACTCCTGACTAATTACGGCAGAGAGTACGCAACGCGGCCTCCTCACTTTATGGCGCTATGATCGTCCAGTAGCCTGATACCATCCGACCTAAAATGAGCCAGTGACAAGTAGTCGTGCGCTTCACGTCCTTCGGTGCTGTAGCAGGCAGGAAGGCTAGATCTTTTCATGTTTTTTGGCCGCCCGTCAAGTCTTGGTGAGGGGAAGGTAGCCGGTGCTAATTCTACCTTACTACACCTTGATCCAGTGTGGCGGCTGCAGGAGGTACCGTTGGCAAAGCTGTGCTGCTGCCCAGATATCCCAGATCTGTCCAAGGTCCAGGCAGGTCTCGTTTGAGACGCTGGTGAAGTTAAAATACATGGGCTGCCTGACACGGTCATTGACTGGCCGATTAAACAATCTGGAAGGGCGCTGCCCTGATAAGAACGAGCATGCTTGACAGCAAAGCATGTGCGGCTGAGCAGGGTGTGGTGCCATGGCCTTTGAGCAGAAAGGCTGGGCTACTGAAAGACGTGGAGGAATAGCTGGTGGCCAGACCTCAGCATGACCGCGTCTACATCGGACAGCTACACATTGCCTGGCCGTAGCCTGGCCTGCTGAGTGCCGAGCTCACAAGCGCAACCAGCGACGCCCCCGCACGTGAAAGACCGCGACGAAGCCCATGCGAGGGAGATCCGCCTTGCCCTGCCATGAATGAAATGCTGTGCCCAAGCATACATTATAAGTTCCGTGTCCATTGTGGAACCTCCCCCTGGGAACAGACGCCAAGGCGCACTGAATAGCAAAGAAACACATCATCGCCCCTTGTAGATCTCAAGGGGATTTTCGGCCCCCCTCGTGTAGATTACCCTAGGCGTCCAAGGACTCAAATAATAGGGCTTTAGAGCCCAAATACCATCAATAGTCTAGTATTTGGGCCCTAAACCCTATTATTTGGGTCCTTGGACCCTCAGAGATTAGTTTCCATTTTCTTTTCCGTTATCTCAATATAACCCCTACATAACACCAGTATTCTAGCAGTTTCCATG